CCTCAAAACCCCAAAACCCCAAAACCCCACGAGACATATTTCAATTTGATAAACCATGAAAGTAAAAATAAAAATAATCTTAAATTTAAATGAATAGATCTGAGTTATATGAAGATGTACAAATGATAACCCAAAATTGGAGCTAATCATTAAATTGAAAAATTTCCTAGACCTCCTTATCTTGAGAGTAATAATTAAACTGTTTTAATGATGAATATAGAAAAAGGGCAATATATCAAGACTAGATAAAAGATAATTAACTTTGATGAAATGATAAGATAAGAATTAGAAGAAATACAAATCAACAATAAAATACCAATAGAGCTGTGGAATCCAAATAGAATAAATGTATATGAAGGTATAGTATTTTCATAATAAAATATATTAGTTGAGGACTATATCAATGAGGCAAGAAAAAATTTACCAGAGAGACTTAGATACAAAGAAGATATGATTTTAACTTGGTTGACATATCACGATTATGATGCAGAGAAAGCTTTAGAAGCACTAATAACACAGTTTAAGTGAAAGTAATAGCAAAGCAAATATGGTGATTGATTTATGAAATTAAGATTAATTTTTGAATTAATTAGCATGCCTGTTCATTCGGTTTTGAAGTCATCTTCTCTAAATTAATCAATAAGCTTATATTTCTGGCTTTCAAACTTTAGAATCTATCATTTGAATGGCTAATCTAAAGATATCCTAAACTTGTTGATTGTCCTTCAATTGTTCAGGAATGAAACTTTTCCAACCCTGATACCAAAGAGATATCTCTTCAAGTACATCATCAGATTCTTCATCTGTTGATTCATCCACTTATTTCAACCAAATATCCAGTGCTCCTATCCATTTACTAAATAGGTTCTCTCTTAAAATGTTTATCATTGTGTTATTATCGATCACACCCACCCATTAGAATATCAGAGTCAAAAGATCGATGTCCTAGTTAGCTGGGTCTATCTAAAATTCTTTCAATTTAAAAGTTAGTTTTGGAATTACTGATCTCATCACTATGTTATTGATTGATTACATATCCATAATTTCATTCAAAGGTTAAATTAGAATGAGGGCTAGATTCGACTCAACTTTCCATTCAGATAGAGCTGTAGTGAGTTTAAGCTTAATTTAGACAATCAATGATTGCATATCAACTTCTGAGAGTAGATCCTTCCAAGGGAACAACCAATTTTAGAGTAGATTTTCTTTGTTAGTATCCTTTGGATTCCAATCTTGAATTTCTCTTTTGATCTTGGGTTTGATATACATTTGAATCAGCTTGATAAAAAACTTCTCAGGGATAAGTAATTGCCACTTTTTTAAGCATTCAGCGAATTCAGAGCTGAATTCTCTCATATTCCATCTTGTATTGATAAAAGTTCTCACTGGATGCATCCAGAAGGTATCAAATAGCCAATACATTACATCCTCAATAATATATTCATCTTGAGAAATACTATTTCCAACATCATATCTGCTCAGATAACTCTATGATTTCATAGATTAATTCAAATCTTAATTGAGATGATGATCTAGCTTGCCTATTGTCAATATGTTACGAATTCGGTAAAATTCATCAAATTAATTGAGAGGTTAATTTAAGATATCCCAGTTCTAGATATTTTATTTCAATTTAGTTTGGGCAATTAGCTTAATTATCATTAAGCTAACCTTATACTAGACGTAAAATTCAGTATATCTATGGTAAAGCTCTGTGCAATCTCTTTCTAGCTTATGCTCTTCCATGTTGTTTTCGTATCCCTTCTCCTTAATATTCTAGAGAATTAAGGCAAGCTATTTCTTGAATAATTCTAGCTTTACCTTCTTTTCCTAAGTTTATAATAACTATTCTTAAATACTTTCATGTTACACTTTGAGCTACAGGAGTTAAGATTCATTGAAGTTCTTTTTATTGATCACTGTTTACAATTGATGCTTCTATTTTTCTTTAAACTCAAAAGCTTGTTAGAATAATCTAAACTTTTCTGATTTCTTAGCTTAAGGTGTTTAAGTGGCAAATGAATTTCTTTGATTTTAATTTAAATTTTCTGCATTTTACTTCAGGTCCCTTAAATCACTGATGATTTATTGATGTTTTTAATCTAAATCTGATCCTCGCATATCAATAATTTTGAGTCCTTAGTTCATTGAGCCAATGCTGTCATTTATGACTGTCGCTTTCTGAGTATTGACTTAAAAACTGCTCAAAGCCCCTTTTGACTTGATAGTTGGAACCTTTCCTTGATTTTTGCTAATCTTTAAGAGATTCAAAAACTCTGAGTCCTCTTTATCTAATTTAATTTTCTGTTGCTTTGCCTTTTCTACTTTTTTTTCTTGCTCAGTTTTATTAACATCAAGGATATTCGGCTTTTCTTACTTCTCTTAAATTTCTTTGCTCTAACCTTTCTAACTGTTACCACCAAGACCTACGTTATCTTTTTTGAATAAAGTCTCAACGGGATTAATTATTCCTTAATTACTTTTACCTATACCTTGACCAACTTTATAGCCACTAACAGCTTAGAGTATTTTCAAACCTTTACCATATTTAGTTGACAGTACATTTTCCATCTATTTTTTTTCTTTCTAATTTTCAATTTGATCTTTTGAATCATTTTACTACTTTTAAGCATTTCTCGATCCTTTCTTTCCAAAATACACTGGCAAGGCATTTTTATCCTCTTCATCTTTTTATTTGATATGAGTAATATCTTTATTCATTTCTTCTGCTTCTTAGAAAGTTCTCTTTTAAGGGAGTTTAACTTTATATTTTGTTTTTTATTCTTCAACATTTTCAATTATTTGTTACTTAGAATCTATAATTTTATTGTTTTTCTTTTTCAAGCTGCTCTTGATATTTAAATTTTCATTTCTAACTATTATCTAAATCTATTCAATTTGCTCATTATCATCATTCATTTCTTCATCATAATAATCATCAAAGCTATCATACATATTTTATTATTGCTAGAAATAGTTAAATTGACTTTAATCTTAATCACCCTCTTATTCTGGATTTGACATCTGAAAATCTTAAGGATCTTTATGGAATTCTTTTATATGAACCTGCTCTGAGAATCTCACAGATTTCTTTTATTGAGCTACAGTCTAATTTATTTGTTGCCTATTTTAATCATCCTAAGGAAATTTGAAGTGTGATTTAACTTAAACTGCAGCCTCTTTTTTTGGTTATTGGATAGGGTTAGCTTTAGATTTCACAAATGCTATAGGGACATTGAAGTTCTTACCAGTTCCTTTTGCTTCAGTATCTCCAATCCCGAATAATTTACCTTTAGAGAAATCCCTATCTTCAAAATAATCATGAGTCTATTAAAATTATTATAATGATTAACTAAAATACTTACATTCATAAAACTACCATATATTGCATCTTCCTTAGTAAATTTATTTCTTTTATTGATATTTTTCTACTCTTTGTAGTAAAATTCCCCATCTTAACCAAAAACTCCCCCTTCATAATCTTATTCGACATCGAATTATTCCATCTCTTCATCATCTTAATCATCACCACCTGACATCAAATTTGTTTTGTAAAAGTTTCTTTTTCTGTCAGTCATTTTTTGCCTAATACTACTTTTATATTTTAAATTATAAATCCCCATCCTACTTTTAACTAAAAGATAGATCATTGTAATAGTGGGGTTTTGGGGTTTTGGGGTTTTGGGG